TTATTGATTCTCTTTGATTTGATTGTTAAGTATAGTTAATTAATTGATAAAATAATTTATATTTATTATTTAATAAATTAAAATCAATTTAAAAATTGATCTTTCAGATTTCATAACCAATTGTTTAAGGAAAAAAATTACAAATATCAATCAAATTAAATAAAATTTGTGTAACCATAACCACAGTTACAATGATATATGTGTAACTATTTTATATAATTTTTATCTACAATTTTTATATATCATTAAATGAGTCGATATATATAATTATAAATCCCAATATATTGAAAATAGTCAATTATTAAATAACATTAAGATTATATAAAACATTATATAAAAAAATTATTTCTCAATCATTTCCTTTTAAACAATTGCTTTATGCCCCCTTTCTTTTTTCTCTCATTTTTTTCCGTATCATTGTCCATGCTGTCTATTTTATAACACAATAGCGAAAAAAGTGCCCGTAAAAAAAAGCCGTTAGACGTGTTAGTGTATATATCTAGGGATGTTAATAGGTCCCACAACATCGGGGAGTCCCTCCTTGTCCCTGTTCCCGTGAATGACAGTGACGAGTATCCCCGCAGAGATCTTATGGGGGATAGATTTTGCCCCCGTCCTCATTCCCCACCAAAATATCTAAATATACACTTCCACTTCGACTTTGAGCAACAACAACAACAGTGGCATAGTAGCAACTGTGGCGGAGTAGTGGTGGAGCAATGGCACAATAGTGGCGGAGCAACGGCACAACAGTGGCGGAGCAACAGCCGTGGCGCAGCAACAGTCTCAGACGGATTTGGTTTGGCAGCCATGGTGCAGTAGTAGTGGCGTAGCAACAATCTCAAATGGATTTGGTTTGGCAGCAACAATCCAAACTCTAGTTCAAGGCATAAGGGTGAGATGTGAAATAGAGAAGGGTAGAAGGGCGGCAATGAAGGGATTGAGGGATTTAGGGTTTGAGATTTGTAGGGAAGGGCCAAAAGGGAAGGTGGAAGATGACTTAAGTGAGTGTGAGAGAGTACGAGAGTTCGAGAGTTCGAGAGTGAGAGGCAGAGGCAGTCACTGGAGAAATGGAGAAATGAATAAGGCTACTTAGGGTTAAAAGGATTGGGTTGGGTTAGGTTAAATTTTATTGAATTGGGTTTGGATTTTAAAATCATATTAAATTTAAAATGAAATTAATTTATATTTTCTTTTTAATTTTTTGCGGGGATGAAGATCCCCGCGGCAGGAAAAATTCTCCGTGAAATTTCACAAGAGGAAAATGCCCCTTTCCTCGCCCCGCGAGGAGGAATATTCCTCCCCACTCCATCCTCACGACAGGGATCTCACGGGGAGGAATATTCCTCCCCACCCCATCCCCACAACAGGGATCCCACGAGGATCAGAGTAAATTACCATCTTTATATATATCCACTTAATCTTTGTTAGTAAATTGTTGAGGGTAATATCTTTGATTATAAACTTTTGAACTATAGTAGACTTAATTAATAATGAAAAAAAAGTTAAATATATATTTTTTTAAACATGGGAAATTATGAAAAAATTGAAATTTTTTTTAAATAATTAATGAAAATCAAACTTTTGGTCAGTTAAATTCAAATATTACGGCTTAAAGAGAATTATTAAACCCGAACACTTAACTCAAAAAAGAAGTTATATTTTAATTTAAAAAGTTTCAAAAAGTTAACATAAAAAAAAGTTTTAAAAAGTTGTATTCTTATTTACCATCTATCAAAATAACCCCTTATGGTTACTTTGATTTTCTTCAAACTCGTTTTCTTTTTTTCAAAATAATTAACTCAATTGATAACGAAAAAAGAGTCATCTTATTATTATTATTTTTTTTACTTTTCAAAGTAAGAATTACATTGATAGTATTAATATTTGCACTAAAGGGATGAGAAAATGTTGAACTTGGGACTTGACCTTAAGATCATCAAGGATGCCATCACTTGTTTCTCAACGAGAAACGCGATCACAGTGGCTGTATAATTGAAAGGCCAAAAAACCAAAAAAAAAAAAAAGAGCCATCTTAATCCGCTAATAGAGCACATGACTTTTAATCAAATGATCGCGGGTTTGATTTCTATAAACAATGTTTCTTGGAAATGTTATACTA